TCTTCATTGTGTTAATAAATTCAAGCGTTAGGGGGTGGTAAGCCGGATATTGCATTTTCGCGTATTGCAAAATATTGACATTGGTGAGGTACGCTTTTACTTTGTTGGCAATCCCGATATTTTTTAAAAGTTGCCAATCAATTTTTCGAGGTTCGGTGATGAATGATTCGTCAAGATTTCGAATGTGCACGCCTTCATCCGCAAGGTATATGGGAAACGGACATTCATACTCTTTTTGAATATTTTCTCGATCGGGATCAATTTGATACAATGTCTCATCTCCCTCTTTATTGGTGTCGGGTCCACTTTCCTCACTTTTCTCACTTTCCATGTCCTCGTGAGACTGAGAGTCCTCACGAGATGGAGAAGTTTCGGGAGTAGGTGTACGTTGTCTCTTCTTAGCCATTTCGTCAAACACCTTGTGGGCACAATGTCACTTATTTTTCACCACCTACAAATTCACCACCAACACCACTTACAAAATCAAATCATGTGTTTCCAACAACAACCAACAATTCAAACCAAACAATATCCAATCCAACCAAAGTTCATCATTACAACAATTTGCATAACAAAATTTGACAAAGAAAAATTTGCATAAGATATAACAAAATTAAAACATCAGCATAGTAGACAAATCGACGATCATAAATGAAAATTCCTCTTCATCTTACCGAAATGGACGAATCGACAACGGAGAAAAGGAGTTCTTGACTCTTGAACGACGACAAGGATCGTGGTCTTTTAGACGTAGCTTTGAGGGCAGAGGATTTGGGGCTAAATCGACACAGAGAATGAACTATTTAAGGCGGAGGAGCGGTCAGGGCGGCGAAAGTTGGGGACGGCGGAGGAATTGGGGAAGAGACGAGGACGGCAGATAATTAAGAGAGGAGCGTCTGATACTTTGACTAGGGGAATTGTACTCTGGTACTGTATTCTGTAATCTGTATGTTGAGGATTAGGAATAGAAGTTTAATATTATAATATTATTAATAATATATTAATATTGTATATATAATAGCATATGTTATTTCGGTTCGAAAAAATATATGTTTATATATATTAATGCCTTGGTGGTGAAATGGTAGACACGCGAGACTCAACATCTCGTGCATTATTAATATTGTATATATATATGTTATACTCAAAACCGAAAATCGACCGAGTCGGATAAAACCGAACTGAAATTTTCAGTTCGGTCGAATCCGATCGGTTCGGTCGGTTTCAGTCGAATTATGTAAATATATTTATATATATAATATATTTAATATATATTAAATACGTTGAAACCTGTTTTCATTCATGAAACCTGTTTCCATTCAATTTTAAAGTTCAAAATAACATTTCACAGCCGGTTGAAATTTCAACTCCGGTTGAATAATATTTTCAACTCTGGTTGATGTGCCAACCGCGGTTGGCCGAGAGAGTATATCAACCGCGGCTGAAGATCGTGCTTGCTTGGGTCATAGTTCAAAATATCATTTGAAAGCCGGTTGAAATTTCAACTCCGATTAATCCAACCCACAAGAAACTGGTTTCTTGAACAAGAAACCTGTTTTCTGCTCAAGAAACTTGTTTCTTGCTCAAGAAACTAGTTTCTTGAACAAGAAACCTCTTTTTTGCTCAAGAAACAACATCGCGCAAACTTCGAACATGAACGACAATCCCCTAACCCTAGATAGAGAATTTAGTTACTCATAGGGATCTCAACACAGACATTCATATTAAAGAAACCAGCTTCTTAAGCAAGAAACTGGTTTCTTGAACAAGAAACCTGTTTTCTGCTCAAGAAACTTGTTTCTTGCTCAAGAAACTGGTTTCTTGAACAAGAAACATGTTTTCTGCTCAAGAAACAACATCGCGCGAACTTCGAACCTGAACGACAATCCCCTAACCCTAGATAGAGAATTTAGTTACTCATAGGTATCTCAACACAAACATTCATATTAAAGAAACCTATTTTCTGCTCAAGAAACCTGCTTTCTGCTCAAGAAAGAACATCGCGCGAACTTCGAACCTGAACGACAATCCCCTAACCCTACATAGAGAATTTAGTTACTCATAGGGATCTCAACACAAACATTCATATTAAAGAAACTAGTTTCTTGAGCAAGAAACTGGTTTCTTGAACAAGAAACTTGTTTTCTGCACAAGAAACTTGTTTCTTGCTCAAGAAATTGATTTATTGACAAGAAACTTGTTTTCTGCTCAAGAAACAACATCGCGCGAACTTCGAACCTAAACGAAAATCCCCTAACCCTAGATAGAGAATTTAGTTACTCATAGGTATCTCAACACAAACATTCATATTAAAGAAACCAGTTTCTTGAGCAAGAAACTGGTTTCTTGAAATAGAAACCTGTTTTCTGCTCAAGAAACATGTTTCTTGCTCAAGAAACTGGTTTCTTGAACAAGAAACCTGTTTTCTGCTCAAGAAACAACATCGCGCGAACTTCGAACCTGAACGACAATCCCCTAACCCTAGATAGAGAATTTAGTTACTCATAGGGATCTCAACACAAACATTCATATTAAAGAAACCAGTTTCTTGAGCAAGAAACTGGTTTCTTGAACAAGAAACCTGTTTTCTGCTCAAGAAACAACATCGCGCGAACTTCGAACCTGAACGACAATCCCCTAACCATAGATAGAGAATTTAGTTACTCATAGGTATCTCAACACAAACATTCATATTAAAGAAACCAGTTTCTTGAGCAAGAAACTGGTTTCTTGAACAAGAAACCTGTTTTTTGCTCAAGAAACAACTTTTTCGTTAACAGAACTTGCCATATCTCAACCCAAATTACTTCACATCGCCGTGGCCGCGACCTTCCACATTTTTTTTGTGATTTCTTGTTTTTCGTGTTTCTTTTTGTTTCGTTTTCCCTGTCTAGTTTTTGTGTTATATATATAATAGCACGTCGAGACCGTGGATCTCGGCGGCACGCGGCGAAGAAGTTATTTCTTTCTTCCTACTTCACATTCATCTTTGTTCTCAACTCTTCTTAGTTTTAGGAGTTTTTAGGAGTAATTTTCTTAGTACTTCACATTTGCGATCAATCATACAACGGTCCGCCGAGATCCACGGTTTGGGGAGCATCTAGACCGGACATTCACATTGTTAACTGAGCTTTTTCCTTCTCAATGTTCAACAAATTCACCAACAAACTCAATGTTCAACAAACTCAACAACATGAATCAATCTACCAAATTCCCAACATAATGCAAATTACACCAAAAAACAACAACAATATTCAATGATCACAGTGTACACATATTCAACCCAAAAACAACATAAAACCGAAAATCCAACAAAGTTTTACTTTGATTCCACAAGCTTCCCATTTGCAAAAATAGCTAAAGCCATATTCTTTCTGTAATCTGCAATATCTTTTGTAGTCGGTTTGTTCGGAAAGGCGTCCCCAAGCATGCGCTCTACGTACATGCATGCTAACGGACCACAACTGAATGTATCATTCTGGACTAATTGCTCATCTGCGGGCATAATGTTAACTGTGAAAGGGTAAGTTATAGGTTTTGCCCTCAATTTCTAAAAGTAGCCCGACTGTTGGAGTAAAGGTGGCAGTAATTGGGTAAGTAGGGCCAATGTCTGCGCTCGACTTTGCAAGGATTCCTCAGGATTGTGGGCCAAGGAGTCGTAGACATTGATCTCTCACTTCTTTAAGTCCACACGGCATACCACCCAGTGGTCCCCCACGTTACATACCAAGATGACATGTCCAATTCAATCCATACATTATCAATTAAAAACTTTTGCAGAGGTTGGATTAAATTGTCGGAAACCACTATTTTATAATAAAAGCATCACTAATAAATCCAACTACTTACCTCAGAAACCTGAAGCCAAGGTTTACCCCAACTAACAGTTGTACCACACACATATTTAATGATGGACTCAGGTGCCTTCCAATCGGTATAGACACATTTAAGCTTATCCCACTCTAGCTCGAACAAACTCTGATAAAAATGTTTTACCGTTAGTAAAAGATTGTCAATTTAAAATATCGATATTATTCTATATTTATGATAACAATACTTACAAATAGAGTTGCGTCTTGGATGTTAATCGCTGAACCAGGACCTGTTGCTTTTACTTTCACATTGTTATACAATCTTCGGGCAATTACCTCAAGATATGGATTAATATGCTACAACATTAAAGTAGGGGATCTTATTAATATCAAAAAAATGTGGTTAAAAATGAGCATTAAAATCCACAAAAAAAGAATAGTACTTACAATATGACCAAGTTTTTTCCGAAATCCCTCAATATATTTGAAATAATCTCTTGCATGCAAACACTTAGGCGTCTGATCAACGTCGATCCTAATAAGTAATAAACCATAGTTTTTAATGATAAAAAACTCTATTTTACAAAATGCAAAAATAATAAATCAACACTTACAGCGTAGCATCTTTACCCTTCATCCATTTTTTGTAGGCGCGAGTCCATTTTTTCTCTTCGTGCTTCTGCAAGTAGTTCACAAAGGGTGAACTTACTTTTTTGCCCAAGAACCTCGTACGTCGTTGTTGTCGTGGCTCACTATCATCATCATCATTCTCATCAATCGCCTAGGAGTTTTTTGAAGCAAATGTATTAGTTGTAGGAGATTCTGGACAAATTCACAAATGTACAAACTTGCAACAAAAATTAGTTGTTGTACTCACCGCCTGCTCCACAGCCTCATGAGCAATCTCGACAATGTCAGGAGACTTCTTCTTCTCATCATCCTTCTCATCATTTTTCTGGGAGTTTTTGTAACAAAATATATCAGTTTTAGACAAATTCACAAATGTTCAAACTTGGAACAAAAATTAATTTTAGTGTTCACCGTCTGCTCCACAATCTCAATAATCTCAGGAGACTTCTTCTCCACATCAGCCATTTCATCAATCGCCTAAGAGTTTTGGCAACAAAAAATATTCGTTTACGAGAACAGAAGTTTAATTCTGGAAATAATGTACAAATGTTCGTTTACCTTATTCTCAACCACCTGCTCCAAATCCTGAGGGGACTTCTTCTCGGACCTCTCCTCGTGAATCGACTAAGAGTTTTTAGAACAAAAAATATTAATTCTAGAAGAACCAAATGGTTATTTCAGGAAAAAAATGTACAAAAGTCAATTGCAATAGTAAATAATTTACCTCATTGGCAACCACCTCATGCTCCTTCTCCTCATCTTCTTTCTTAGCCTCCTTCTCCTTCTCTTCTTCCTCCTCCTCATCCTTCTTTTCCTCTTCCTTCCCTTCTTCATCTTCCTTCTCTTCTCTCTCAGCCTCGTTATCAACCACCTACGAGTTTTTGGAACATAAAATATTAATTTTAGGAGAAAAGTACAACAAAACATCTTGTTGTTCGGAGCTCATTCAAATCATGTGCATGCTTGAAATAAATAAGGAACATGTTAAATTATAGTCCACCAAAATGAACATGTTAAGTGTCAAAAGAAACTTACCACATGAACAAATTCAGGTATTTCACTTGATTCTCCTGGATTTGAAGGATTCTCATCTCCTTACTTTGTACTCCCAGCTCTCTCTGTCATAGAATCATTCCCAGGCTCCTTGCTTCCTCAAATGCCCGATTAATGGCATCGGGGACGAGCTGACTCAAAGTTCTTTCAACTATCGAAGGCAACAACTTCTTCAGACAGTATGAGACTTCTTCCTTTATCAATGCTCTAAGGAGATACTTGTCCATTCCCGAAGTTTCAGGTTTCCTAGCCTCCCTCTCTTCCTCACCATCAGTAGCCTCAAAACCACGAGCCTTCTTCAAAGGTTTGTGCATCGACGCCCCAGCCTTTCGCTTATTTTTCTCTAGCTTCTTGTTTGAAGGGTCACAACTACTTTCCAGGACTCGTGGTGAATATACTCCAACCCCAATGACAAATCCAAATCAATGTCAACCATGTGAGGAGCATTTTTCTCGGCATTCGTCAAAGTCATTGGAGTACATTTAATCTACAGAGAAAATGCAAAATAATATTATAAAAAATATGAAAACTCTCATAACAAGATATATGCAGGAAATTATATGTATAATAAACATATTTACCTCCGGTTTATCCAATTCATCCACCCGATTAAAATTTTCTTCGGACAAAGCCACCTTGTGCCTTTAGGTAGGCCATCTCCGATAAAAGTAAATCCTCCGGCTTCTTTTACAAACTCGGGCATCATCTCACAAGCCCATATCTATTTAAGAACAATAAATCGCATTTGTCATTTTTAACAAGTAGAACACACACGGAAAATAAATTACAAATCTTGAAATAGCAAAAGTACCTGAAGCGGCATCAAATAAGCATGGATGTTGAATTGAAAATCACAACCCTCTTCCGGCGCATGTATACCAACATCAATGTAATGGTATAAACGTTAGAAGGCATATGCACCCCATGGAAATTTTTTAAAATTCTCCAAATCTTCCACTAATGTCCAAAGCCATAGTGGCACAGCCGATCTAGGGTCGGGTGCAAAGAAGAAAATGTGGACGACCAATATCAAGGAAACTTTCAATGCGTCATCGGGGTAATTCAAAAAATTACCCTTCTTGAAATCATTCAATAAATCTACACCTACAACACTACGACCATCAAAATGGCGTCGATATACCCCATCTATCGGTGGTGGAAAACTCTCATTCTCGTCGGGTATGAAAGTTGATTGACCAAATTTCAATCCTGTAATTTGGCAAAACTCTACTTTACCAAATTCAAAGTTTTTTCTCCCAACTCTAAACCAACGCTCTTTCTCTCGAGCGTCATCCACGACTACCTCCCTACCAAGTAAAGAAAGGAGGAGTTTTCCACTATAGTAGGCATGACTATCAAATATCAAAAATTGTCCAAAACATGAATTTTCAAAATCCCTAAGACGACCACAAAGTTCGAGTTACGAATTAATATGGCGTATTACTTGTGGCTTTGTTTGGCAATTTATTTTTCTACTCCAATTGCAAGGTTGGTTCTATCTCCAACTCCAACCATCACCCTAAATAACATGAAACATAATATATTATTTATTTGGTTAAAAGTTTAAATATAAAAAAATTAAATAAACAGGTTTCTTAAGCTCAAGAATAAAGTTTCTTGACCAATAAACAAGTTTCTTGAGTTCTTTCTTGAGCAAAGAGACAGGTTTTTTGAGAAAAAGATAGGTTTCTTGAGCATGAAACAAGTTTCTTGAGCAAGAAACAGATTTCTTGAGCTCAATAAAAAGGTTTCTTGAGCAATAAACAAGATTCTTGAGCAATAAACATGTTTCTTGAACAAAAAAAAAGACTTTTTTCAAATAAACTACAAAAATCTTTGTTTCTTGCTCAAGAAACTTGTTTCTCCTTCAAGAAACCGGTTTCTTCAATGTTTTAAGTTGAACAAACAACTTCTTCAACGTTTGAGCAAAAAACAAAAATTTATGAAACATAAACTCATTAGTTTTTTCTTCAACAAAACAAGACTTTTTTTCTTCAACAATAATCAGGTTTCTTGAGCTCAAGAAAAAGGTTCTTGACCAATAAACAGGTTTCTTGAGATCAAGTTCTTGCCCAATAAACAGGTTTCTTTCCTGTTACTTGAGCAAAAGACAGGTTTCTTGACCAAGAAATTCTTGAGCAAGAAACAGGTTTCTTGTCAAGAAACCTGTCTCATGCCAAGTTTCTTGAGCAGAAGACAAGTTTTGTGAACAACAAAACTGAAGTTTTTTTCACGTGAAGTACAAAACTTATTCTTGAGCAAAAAAAAATCATACCTCATTAGCAGTTCAAGACAAGTTTTGTAAACACAAAAACTGAAGTTTTTTCACGTGAACTACAAAACTTATTCTTGAGAAAAAAACATCATACCTCATTAGGAGTTGTCATCTCGTCGTGTTCCAAGAATAGCGCCTCAAAGAGATAAGAGGTTTGTATGAAAATCTCTTTTCAAATTAAGAAAATGAAGAAATGCCTCATTAAGAGTTGTCACTCAAACAACTTATTCTCCCTTTAAATTACTAATTAGTTACCTTTTTTCATGTTTTAATCTAGAAGAGAAATAATAGATTTGTTACTGATGCAAATAACAATTTCTGTACATGTTTGTTTTGGTGAATGCAAATCATGGAATGTTTAGTGTTGATTCCACATTTGTAATGATGCTTAACCAATTACATGACTAATGGTGGGTCTCAGTAGCAATAATCATTTCAACTAAACTAAATGTTGAATTAACTCAAATGTACAACCTAATCTAAAATTAAAGCAAACAATTAAAAGAAAAGACGCTGGAAATTATAGAAGGTAAATTGCAAAATTTCGTTTTGTTTTTTTCATTCATTTCGAGAGAGATAGTAATTGATGGTTCACGGTTCACATACCTAACACCAGCTCCAATCACAACTAATTTTAACAAATGAATCTGAAATTGCAAACGAGTATGAATATCCATAGTAATTTGCAGGCAGAAAAATATAAGGAAGAAAATCACGCACAAGGGGCACACCTTTCACTATATAACTCCAGTTTAGATAAAATAATACCAAACTTACACAAGGGGATAAAAAGAAATGTGTTCCTTATTCCATTCTTGGCTTTAAAAAGAAGCAACAAGTAAAAAAGTAAAGAAAAACAGATGTATTTTCTCGATATAATTCAATGTGTTAGAGTATATATGACAACACTAGGCATATATCTTTTAACACGAGATTTTCAGAGAAGGATATAATTTCTAATCAACTTTATGTGTACGGCAAACGACAAACAGGGGTAAGAAACATGTTCTCACCTACTAAGTAGTGCTTGTATGATTCTCTAAAAACCTTTAACATATAGCAACTTAGCAAGTATCCTCACTTCCTGAATAAATTTCATCACTAGCAAAAATAATTTTGAAACCTTTATTCAGAGGGATCAATAAGAGTTAATAAGCATAAAGAAGTAGAGGTTGGAGTTAAAAGGATAAAATGGAGCACTTAACAAGTGATACTGTTTGGAAAAAATAGGGAGTATTTTGAAATTACTTAAAAAAGTGATTGTCAGCTCCAGTTGAGTGCATAACTTAATCAGCATCTAAACCAACGAATTCGGTGACACGGGCAAGAACTGAATGGAAAATAACAGGTGTTCCACACACATGACCTATCGCTACATAAAAATAAGAAGACTTACATATGCAATAAATGGCCAAAGTTTGCTCAGTATGCATGTAGAGAAGCACATGATGAATAACAAGTAGTTAATTCTATTTGTACATGACGAGAAATATGGGATATTTTTTTACTTAATCTAACAACCAACCATGTAAACGAATAGCCGAAAAAAAAATGACCAATTGAGGCAACATTCTGGAAAATATTACTATTATGAGCAAAAAAAATTAATACCTCAATTTAACCATACATATCTCAATTGGAAAAAACAATTTCAGTGAACTCAAAATGCACATTTTAACTAAAAAACCCTGTAAATCGACGGAGTAGAAAACGAGCCTAAATAACACACAAAATAACACACCTTCAATCGATAGAGAAAAAACTTCAATCGACCGAGAAAAAACTTCAATCGATGGAGCCTAAATAACACACACAAAAATTACAAAAAACACCTTCAATCGACGGAGAAGAACTCAAAATACACATTTCAACTAAAAAAAACCCTAAATATCGCCTAAAAACACAAAAAATCAAAAGAAAAAAAGAAACCGAACCTTAAATCGCCGGAAAAGAGCGCACTCGTGTAGTCGGAAGAGAGACCTTCAATCGACGGAGCCTAAATAACACAAAAAAATTACAAAATATCGCCTAAAAACAAAATAAAAAAATAAAAAAACCCCGAACCTTAAATTGCCGGAAAAGAGAGCACTCTTATAGCGGGAAAAGAGAGCAATTTTTTTTCACTGGAAAAGAGAGCAATTTCGGGAGAGAGATGAAATGGGAGCGGGAGAGAGAACCAAAAAGGCTAAAAGAAAAAATTTAAGAAAAAGGTTACCAAAAAATTTAAAAAAAGTTTCAAGGGCGCATTGGTCTTTTTGAGACCTAAAATGGTTATATTTATTATTTTTAAAAAGATGACTATATTTCATTTTTTGTTTTGGTAAAGTGCTATGAAATACCATTAAGTACAAGAGAGCCCCACCACGAAAGGAGCTAATAGAAGTACGGGTTACAATTCATCTAAATAAAAACAATCCATCTAAATAAAGGGTAATGTTAAAGCCCCATTACGGAACTATTCCGTTGTGATTGTAACTGTTAGGTCATCATATAACTGTCGTAGATAGTTGATCTAACGGTTACAAACCCCGACGACGGAATGGTTCCGTAACGGTCCAGTAGAATCTCCCCTAAATAAAATCATCTAAAATGAGAGATTTGATAAATTGCAATAAAAAGGTATTCTACATTCCATCGACACAAATCTACAAACCACAACTAAGTGAGAGTGTTTTCATTCCAGATTTTGAACTCTTGCTAAAAATCCTACTGCATTTAATTGAACTCTTAAAACTCATGAGGCAGAATCTGTTTTTTTCGTGCGAGACAAGAGTGCCGTGACAAAATCATCCAATGCCTTGACGGAAGACCCACCCCCCTTCTCCTCCGAGTCCATGGCCAGAGCACTTGTTATGATGTCCTTAATCTCCCCGGCTCTCCTCCTCAGGCCCTCACCCTCCTCCCCCTCCCCCATCACCCTCTCTATCACATCTCTCACCTGCTCCCTCTCTATCCT